CAAGTTCAATGTGATATGGACATTCAACTAGAAATAAAAACTGTAAGTGCTTCAAGTTGCTGGCTCTCTATTGAGTCCTCCATCTTATTTTTCCTTTAACAAGTTCATAAGCAATAACAAAACCTAAAAAGTCAGAAACATGATACTTGGTGGAGAGGGAGAAACAGTGTCCTGCCACTTTCTATGTGTTACGCCTCTCTGATCATTGTGAAAAAGTGCAACTGTAAACATATCTCCCTTCCAAAAACTTGTCAATGGGTAGGGGGAGACATGAACAAAAAATTAACAGCATTAAATCCCATTGGGTCATGCACAAATCTGGACTCCTCCTACTTCCCAGTCTCATTCAATCCACCCCACACTCTCTCCATAATCAAACTAATTTATATGAGAAATAAGGCTGGCTTTTTTCTCATCCTTAGACCTTCAATTTACAAGACAGTTCCTAGGGCCAGAGACATGGCTCAGTGATTAAGAATTTGTGATACTACTCCAGAGGACTAGAGTTCAATTCCCAGCTCCCATATCAGTCAGCTGAGCAACCTGTAATTACAACTTCAAGAATTCTGACATCTCTGGACTCCACAGGCAGGAGGCATGCATGCACATGTGCACACAAACACACACATACACGATTAACAGTTAAAAACCTTCCAGATTTGGGGATAGGGACATGGCTCCACAACTAAAAGCACATGCCATCCACACAAGAAGACATGCATTCAGGCACGGTGTCCCTGTGAAAGTCAGGTGTGGTTGGCCATGTGCTTTTTTAACCTCAGCATCAGGAAGCAGAGACAGGCAGAGACAGGCAGTTCTCAGGACCATCTCCTAGGTAAAATGGAGTTTCCAGTTTAGTGAGAGACCCTGTGTCAAAGAAATAAGGTAGAGAGCAAAAGAGTAAGATACCTGGTATCTCCTCTGCTTCTGCACTTATACACAGACACATGCTCACAAAGGCCCACAAACCTGTGCGTGCACACACACACATACAACACATACATGCATAACACACATATAACATACACGTATAACACACATGTATAACACATACACGTATAAAACACACATATAACACATACATGTATAAAACACATCTATGTGTAACATATATCACATACATGTATAAAACACACACATGTACAACACATACACACAAACCAACCACACACACATATATACCCCTCTTCCCAAATTTGGCAAAAGGCATAAACCTAAATCAAGTAACTTAGTGAATTCCAAACAAGACAAACTTAAAAAAAAACCTCATACCAAGCACAGACTGTCAAAAACTTTAACCCCGAGTGGGGTCTTGAGCACTCTACTTAATTAAACCCTCTTAAAATGCCCCCCCACCGCGCCTTGTACTTTTCTCCTACTCTTCCCCAAAGAACTGTAAGGCATGAAGGCAGACTAGACTTGGTCACTGTCCCATCACGTAACACAATGTACATTAAGTAAGAGCTGCTCTACTGGCACAGGTGGAATGACAATTGACAAACAGTCCTTTCAAAGAGGAGGCACAGACACAGTAACCTGGGAAACGAGGGGAAAGCACTTCAGTCTGCAGAACATGGCAAGATTCCTCTCAAAGAAGAAAAATGAAAAGAGAAAAGAAAGAAATCAGCCTCTTGGCCATCAGTAGATTTTGTTCCCTTTTCAAAACTGGCCCCAGACTTACCTCTTGGTGGATGTGAGTGCTACCAGATCAGCCAGCCCTTACCTTGTTAGTCTGCAGAATCCGTGCATGAAATGCAGCTGGCCAGGCATGCAGCAACAGGTAAGCGTACGAGCGGATGGCATACACGGGGGAGTACTCCCACGTCTGAAACCCCTTCCCGTAGATGAGGTAGTGTGTCTGAAAGTAGAAACAGATGTGCTACATTCGCAAAGCCCCTCCGGAGGGCTTACAGGTGACGAGCCTGTGTTGAAACCGTTGAGGATTAACATCTGTAGCTAATGGATAAGAAAAGAAACACATGACCTCGTATTTTTAAATTAAGAAGCTAAAATTTTACTGGTTTTCTTAAGATAATGTTTAATCAAAACAGAAAAACTGTAACTCTTTTATTTTCCTTTAGTTACACACACACACACACACACGAAGCATCTTCTGTTTTTTTGATACAAATTGTGATCTGATAACTTTCAAACTTTCTGTAATAGGAAGTCAGTTTAAAAAAACCATAAACAAACAAAAAACCCTCAAGAAAGAACACTCCAAGTGGGACTGTGAGCAACACTGTCAACCTAGTGAAGGCTGCTCTGGCTGTAATGAAACACCGTGACCCAAAGCAGCTTGAGAGGAAAGGGCTCATTTCTTCTTTATATTTGGATCATATGCTTCCTCTCTCCTACACCTCTAGATCCTCTCCCTATGCCTACTCATCCAACTTTTAAATTCTTTCTCAAAAAAGAAACAAAGACTCAATACAACAACAAAACCAAGATAACAAGATTAAATCACATCCAAAAAGGGAAAGAACCAAACACCAAACTGTAACCAAATAAAAGCACAGAAAACAAAACTGTGGAGTCTGTTATATGTTGGTCAGCTTCTCCTGAGCTTGAGGCCTGTCTTGGAGTGGTTGTATACCCAGAGCCACTTTATTGGACAAAATTGACATTCCCTCTCTCAGTAGGGATAAATGATAGTAAACCTTTACCCTAGTGGCTAGGTTTTCATTCATTCATTTTTTTAAAAAATACATGAAGATAAGAAGATGTAATAAGATAAAAACTACCACATCGAAGTTGGACAAGAGAAACCAATAGAAGGAAATTCAGTTCAGTGTGACAGCTAACCATCAAAAGCAGTGAAGACAGGAACTCAAGCAGGGCAGGAACCTGGAGGTAGGAGCTGAGGCAGAGGCTATGGAGGGGCGCTGTTTACTGCCTTGCTCCCCACAGCTTGCTCAGCCTGCTTTCTTATAGAACCCAGAACTACCAGCCCAGGGATGGCTCCACCCACAGTGGGCTGGACCCTCCCCCATCAATCACTAATTAAGAACATGCCCTACATGCTTGCCCTACAGTTGGGTCTTAAGGAGGCATTTTCTCAATTGAGGCTCCCTCCTTTTCTAATGACTCTGCCTGTGTCAAGCTGACATAAAACTAGCCAGTACAACTATTTCGGCAAACATAAGAAGAAATAAAGTTAAAAAGTTGGAAGAATGTAGCTTCTATCTAGGAAATGGGATCTGGACATGAGGAAAGTGCATGACTTTATCTTCCTCAAGTTTTGGAATAATCGTTAGCTTTAAAACCTACATCCACAAGTGTAACTCAGACTTACAAAACCATTTAAAGGATAACTGTAAGTATCACCTTTGAGTATGCCAGCTAAAGGTCACAGACTTCAATAGTAATTAAATCAACAACGTGGGCTTTCTTTTAAGATCTATTCTATTTATGTGTGGATATCTGTATGATTTATTTTGAGACAAGGTCTCTCTATGTAACCCAGGCTGGCCTAGAACTCAGAAGAGCCGCCTGCCTCTGTCTCCTGAGTGCTGTGTTTAAAGGCAAGCGCCACCACACTGGGCTGTCATATTTTGTTTTGGAGCTGGAGTCGCCTACACTTGAGCTGCTGAGATGTGAACTATAATCCTCCTCACAACCACAAATCAACAGTTTTTAGGATATAAAAATGAAAATTTATTTTCATATTTTCCACACTTACATTCTACATGTTTAATTTGTCCTAGGTACCAAATCAAGATCAAAAGCCAAAATCCCAGAACTAGGGGTTAGGGATATAACCCAGTGGTAAATCATATGCTTCTAACGCCCAAAACCATGGGTTAGATCCCAAGGATGGCAAAAACTAAAGCCCAGCTAAGGCGATCACCTACTGGCTCCCAGTAGTTGAACGTTTCATCACAGTCCGAGATGTTGCTCAGAAGGGCGGCGCACAACCTCGCTGAGAGCAGACACTTGAAAGCGGTGGATCCTTCAGGGGCCCAGACTTGCCCTGCTTTATTTCCAGATCTGCCCAGAAGGAAAAAGCAAAATCATTAGTGTTATCAGGAAGGCCCTGCTAAGCAAGACTAAAACCAGACAGAAAAGACAGGAATGGCAAAAGCCGGTACCGCAATAAAGCCATTCACCTAAAAGAACTAGGGCTTTGTTATCTTTGAGAAAGAATAAGGAATTGTGTTTTCAATCACACCATCTACTTCCTGCTTCTAAGGTACACACTAATTCGCACACCTTGGTCTGTTTCATCTCAAGCCAACTAATCTCTTACATGAAGACCACAATGCTCTCACTCTCCATTCCCTCCTTAAAGTCATTCCTTGTCACGGCTTTACCTATTCCCTCCTCCTTCAAATGAATGAGGCTTAATATAAGGTACAGGTGCAGACCTCCCCAGTTCCCATATGCTGACAGCCCCTTTAACGCAGACCTAACAACCTACAGGCTACCGGCTTGGAGGCTAATGGGTTCAAGGGCTGGAGGCCCAGAGGGAGGGAGAAGACAGTAAACCGCCGTGAGACTCTGATGTAAAAGGCATACTCTCTGCCTTAGACAGAGGCTCGTCTAACTCTACCAGCGCGAAACCTGCTCATGTGGACTTGAACATGCAGCATGGCAGATCCTCGCTGCAAAGATGCAGGGATCTGTGGAGGGGCGAAGATCGACGCGAACCGGGACGCTCCCACGAGGGGAAGGAGTAGGAGCGACGGGTAGCACGAAAGCAGAGCCACGGCGGAGAGCCGATCCCCCGGGTGAACGCAGAGCCCTGGCTCGCGGCGGAGAGCCGATCCCCCGGGTGAACGCAGAGCCCCGGCTCGCGGCGGAGACCCCCGGAGCCGCCGGCCACGCCCTCCTACCGCACACGCACTCTGGCCGCGTCTCCGCGCCTGCCTCCCGGCTGCCCAGCAGCTCCCCCAGCTTCTCCGTGGCCGGGCCCGCGTCCCCGCCGCCGCTGCCACCGCCGCCCTTGAGGCGCTGCCGGGCCCTTCGGCTCGCCATGCCTAGCGTCGGGGAAAGGATAGGACTCTGCACACTAAGAAATCGGTGAAGGCGCAGACATTGCTTGGCTGGGGAACAGTGTCCGCCGAGGGACAAAAAGCCTTGACATGCGCAATAAAAACTGAAATACTGTATCAATGGACCAATTGAGGCAAAGGCCAGAACGACAGCCTTCGTTAGCCCTCCCACTGCCGCCTTGCCAACGCTACAGTGTAGTGTGTGGAGGTATAGCACAGCTGCTTATCCAAGGAGAGATCTCTAAAAGGTAACTTTAACATTTAACACCTTGCTTGTCTTGTTGAAAGAGATGGAGGCTGCCAATAGTTCCTGAGAGACAAACCAGCGAGGGTAGAATTCAGACTGAGAAGTGAAAACCTGAAGAAATGCTACGCAGATAATTCAGGCTGGCAGATGTCATTGACGTTGCTATAACGCGGTTGTAGGCATTTTTTACATCGTACTTTTGAATTCTCTCAGCCTCCTTGCTTTTATTGTTAAGGAAGCCAAGGTCCAAAGTTGCTTGGGCAATAAATGGAGCTATTATTCCAATTGAGAACTGAGTACAAACACATACTATTCTCACTACATTAACAACAACAACAAAAAAAAATTTGAGAAAGAAAAGGGGGGGGGCTGGTAAGATGGCTCAGCGGTTAAGAGCACTGACTGCTCTTCCGGAGGTCCTGGTGGCTCACGACCATCTACAGGGGGATCTGATGCCCTCTTCAGGCAGGCAGATATATATGCAGCAGAGCACTCATACATAAAATATATTTAAAAATTTTTAAAAAGAGGAAGAAAGCTCTTGTTGGGAGCGGTTTGTTTTGTTTTGTTTTGTTTTGTTTTAAGGGGAAGGCGTCTGGCCTTGGTTTCAAGGGCCTTTCACAAAGATACTTTACAAAGACAACTCTAGGTGATTGCTTACCCAATCCTAACAGCAGTGCTGCCTGCCAGTAGAAATGCATACAGAATTCTAGAGGGAACACTGAGCTTGACAGAGTCCCAAAAGGTTATAATGCCACTTCCTAAGTTGTAAAAATGGAGACTGATCATATACGTTAGTTCTCATTCATAGTGATTAATTACCACGCCCACATCCAACCAGTTGAACACACATGTATCCTTATTTCCCTTGATGAAGACTAAGGGAGCAGTAAGGATGTGAACAGAGGAGAGCGTTGGTCAGACAACCCTGGCTCTGACACTTGTGGGTTCTATGACTTCAATAGCCAATGATGAAGGATAGCAGTATCATCATAATCCCAAATATGTAATACATGCAATAAAATGCTCATATATTCGGTGAGGCCAGAAAGAGGAACTGAGAAGTTGGTATATATATTTAAATACATGTGGTGAGACATCCAGGTTCCATAGCCTCTTCAGCAAGAGAACAGTAAAGTTCAAAATACTTGTTTTGTTGGTTGTTTCAGTCATTACTCAAGATCAAAAATCTAAACTACAATAAGGTCACCAGCCACTGGTCTGAAGGGGGTATTTTTGTTTGGTTTGGTTTTTTTAAGACAAGGCCTCACCATGTAGCCTTGGCAGGTCTCCTAAGCACTGGGATCAAAGGACACAGCGCCAACTCCTCCATGACCAGTCAATCTATGCATTTAAATGATGTTCACAGGTGTCTTTAGGGTCCATCAACACTACTTGGGTCACCAAAAAAAAAAACAAACGTTTACGCACACACACAAAACAAACAAGAAAAACAAAACCACCAGAGTCCAGAAAGGAACAAGTTTCAAGTTGTTCTTTTTCAGCCACAGACAACATACACTGTAGAAAGGATGTCACTAACCTATCGAGGTGAAACATGTAGCTGTCTTTGAATCTCTCTTCTGAACTGGAACTGCATTGCGGCTACCAGCTGTGGAGTGAGTGCCTTATCACACGCCCGATAGGTCAACCTATAGCAGAGACTGACCTGTCGAGTCTCTGGATGCTGAAAACGATCAAGGAACTGTACAGAAACAATAGTGTCCTGGGACACTGCTCGGGCTACAGTGTGAAACTCCAGCTCATCAAATGCTTTCTTTTCATCTAACCAGAAACTAACATCATGCACATAGTGTGGCGGATACAGAGAATAGCTTTCAAAGTGTTCAATTTTCCCAGCAGCAAATCTTTTCAGGAAACGGTTATCAAAAGTCCACAATATTCTCCAATCAGAAATATCATAGGCAAGCATAACTAATAAGTCCAAGTTGATAGAAACAAACACAAAACACTGAAGTTTATGTTTAACAATCGTAGATGTGACAATAGACCCAACAATCAGATTCTCAGTACAGTCTGGGCCAAAGTTAAGAGACTTCGCATGAATTATATAATCCTTTCCATTAGGTTGAAGGACAAATTCCACTGAAGTGCTCAAACTGGAGCCCTCCTGCAATGTCTGAGTCAGAAGGTTACCTAAAGCATCCTTCAGGTGATCCAGCAGTGATGGAAGGCAACTCTCCTTCATATCTTTATTAAACCCAAGGATGAATAAAGTCTCGTGAAATGCTGGCATCATAAAAGGTAAAATGTGGCACTTCCGAAAGACAGGTCCACTAAGGATGTGCAGAGAGCCTGGGAGGAAATCTGGAGAATGGATGACAGCTTCAACATGGACAAGAAGAGAAGGCCTGAGGCCAAGCTTGACCTGTTCACAGATTTCTTCCTGAGCAGCTTTGCAGCCGTCTCTCACAGGACTCTTGGGAAGGGTACATTCTGAAACAGACACAGGAATTTCTTCCAGTTCTTGTGTTATTTCACCATTCAAGAACTTAGAACATGAGTTATCTTCATGTAGACAAACCCAAACAGTAGGCAGAAGGTCACAGGTCGCTGGAGGGAGGACACTGGGGCCTCCCTGTGACAACAAAGGGAGGGGACACTTCAGCCTTTTTAAGGAAAAAGCTTTACCCAATTCAGCAATGAGTTTCTCATTGATGGTTCTGACAGGATGACAGGAAGGTGCTTCAAGGAACCGCCTGTTTAAACACATAAAATAACTTCTCACTGACAGTAATAATTACATCTGCTAGAATTAAAGTCATCTGTTCTTATACAGAAAACATGTATCCTTAAACTTATCCTGACAATAAATCATTGGTCATATGGAGAAATAGCATGTAGATTTTTTGGTATGGTTTGGGGTGGTTGTTTTTTGTTTGAGGGGTTTTTCAATTTTTGTTTTGTTTTTTGCAAAATCAGGAGCAAATTTCAGGTCTTGGGCAAGCTAGACAAGTTACTCTACCAATGAACTATACTCCCAGGCCTGGGATTAGCATATGATCTGCCCACCACCCCTATATCCTAACAGCCTGACAAGTACCCACAGTACCAACACCATCTACCATCCATTCAAAATGCAGTAACCATTAAGACAACCATGGTACAGCTAGGGACAAAAGAGATTCCCACCTAAATGAAAGATTACCCGTAAGGCTGGAGAGACAGCTCAGAGGTCAAGAGCACTGGCTGCTTTTCCAGAGGACCTGAGTTCAACTCCCAATACCCAAAGGGCAGCTCACACCTATCTGTAACTCCAGTTCTAGCAGATGTGGCACTCTCAGACAGACATGCAGGCAGACCATCAACACACGTAAGACTACCTGTTCAGCTTTCCTGAAAGTGCTTCTGGTTCTGTAAAGTAAAACCACTGGTCCTCCAGCCTGACTCTGAATTTTCTGGGCTGAGAGCTTTCAAAGGGTAAGCTCTGAGTGAAGATATGGGTCAAAGCACCTTCTATATGAAAGGGCCTATCCTGACTCCTGCAAGAATAAATGAACAAATAGCTTCTTTAAATATTATATATTTACATTTAATTTAGTTTAAATTAACTGTATAGACAGACATATAATATATATTAATATACATTTATACATACATACAAACATATTAGTAAACAAGTATTTTTGAAACTACATAAGAAATTAGAAATGAAAAAAGCCTTCTTTTAATTTTTCTTTAATACTTCATGCGAAAGATGAAAGGGGAGAAGGTTCAGGCCTATAGTGTTACTTACCTATACCCAGTGCACTTGTATCCTGGCACAGCCTCACAGCTAAAGGGACACACATCACTTAAAATGAACCCTCCCAGGGCTGCCATGGCAACTACTTGCCAACTGTTGTGCCACTCTCTCTGGGGTTTGTCAGCAGGAGTCCCACCTTGTCCTCTACACAGTGACACATGGACTTCTCCTTCCTTTGCAAGAACATCAGCACAGCTTAAGGGGGAATAACACCAGAAATTTATCAGAAACAGAAATTACCAAAGGAATCAACAATACACACATGGTTTAACTCTGAAATAATTAAAATTAATCTTATTTCCAGTGTTCTATTAAACTTAAGCATATAAAAAGGCTACCAGTGCCCCCACAACACTAGTCCCCAGCTTTACATCTGTATTGTTTTCCTGTATGCCACAGAAAGGCCAGAATCCCTAAAGCTCCCATATATAATTCGTTATTTGCGTTGCTTCTCCCCATTAGAAAACGTCTTACTGCTCTCTGCCCACTCTATAGCTTAGGGCTGGGCTGAGCACTCTCTCAGCATGCATGATGATCTGGCTTTAATAATCACCATACACACTCGTCTATACTTCAACTCCCTAACTTAAAATACTGCCTTTGCTAAAGGTTTCTCAACACCTTTAGCCCAGTGGAGCCCTCTACCACTATCAGTCTGGTATACTGATGTAAAGCACTATTTTAAATTCATAATCATTTTAGGAAGCAGCTGCTATCAGTAGCCCCAGTTTATAGATGTGGAGATAAAAAAAGAAGCAGATAAGGGCTAAACTTGCCGACAGTTTTAACTAGTAAATGGTGACCCAGGATTTGAACCCAGGCCACGTGGCTCTTAAAGCCATGCTCTTAGTCATCAAGCCATAAGGACTCTTACTATTTTGCATTTTAAAGAAATTTTTAAGGTGAGCTGGAGAGAGAGGATTCAGCAGTTAAGAGCATGGGCTGTTCAGAAGTTCAATTCTCAGCACCCATAAGATGGTGGCGCCCATAAGTAACTCTAGCCCCAGGGGATCCAATGCCCTCTAAGTGGGACCTCCCTGGGTGGGAGGCACACAAATGCTGCACAGACAAGCATGCCGACAAAACACCCATATCTCTATCTATCTATCTATCTATCTATCTATCTATCTATCTATCTATCTATCTATTAAACAATTTGTAGCTATCTAGGTTATCAGTGGTAATGGTGCGTGCCACCAAGCATGGTAGCCAAAGTTCTATCTCCTGGATCCACCATGGAAGGAGGACCAACCCCTATAAGTTGTCCTCTGACCTCCACACCCATACACAATTTTTTTAAAAAATAATCTTGCCTTTTTCCTCGTAATGCCTATTTGTACTTTAACATCTAGGGTTATATGTATCTCTTTAAGACACGATTATGGGTTTCTCTGGGTTTTATCTTCTTTCCTCGGGTATACTAGCAACTTATTTCCCCAACTACAAAGTCTGTGTGCGGTAATTTCGTCTTTCCTCACCTCTGGAAAAACTTGGCAAGCAGTTCCCTGTTCTTAGCTACTCCAGCTTTTCGTCCACAGTGCGGGAAATTGAAATAAATTCGATCAAAATCCCTGTCGTCTGCTTGCAAGGCGTGGGCCAGCTGGGTGCAATCCACACCAAAACGCACTTCGATACCTAGCAAAGTTTAAAGGCGTGAAATATAGACCAAAAGAAGTCTTAAGATCTGTAACCTGGACAAACACCACCACCAGCAAACCATGCAAACCAATCCAGACCTGAGCACACAAGCTCATCCACCTGAGCGCCCCCAGGAGGCGCACTCACATCCCCAACGAGAGCCACACCCCCACGCTCCGGGCGGGGCCTCGCGGAAGGGTGGGACCCGCTACCTCGTTCGCGCAGGCGCTGTAGGTTCTCTAGCGCTACCGAATCTCCCTCCAGATCCGCCCGATGCTGGAAGCCAGTAGCGGTAACACTGACCCTGGGATCCAGGGCGTCGATCAGAGAAGCGGCGAAGGAGAAATTCCCCTCCCCGACCAACAGGAGGCGCCCAGGAACCATGGTCTCCTCTGGCTACCTGCCGGCACTCTCTGGGGCGCACATTTCTTACGTCACTTCCTCTGTATGGGCCGTGTCTCCCCCTCCCTTCTCCACCCGGCACTAATTGATGACGCATCAACAGCGTGTAGTTACCTGGATAAACATTTAGAGCCACTGCTACGGCTCAAGCGTGAAAGTGAAATGGAGTTCTTGGCCTTCCCCCTTCACCTTCGTGCGCCTCCAGAGGCTCGTTTTCTTTTCAGTACACAGATGGCCCAAGACGGACAGCCTTGAGCGTCTTCGCCATCCTTGCTTGAGGTCACATAACAGTCACTAAGTGAGGGGTAAGGCGAGTCCTGCGTATTCCAGAGGCACAGAACTCTGTAACTGCACCATCTCCTGAAATGGCTGCCTCCTGTTCTCTAAGCTACTCAACATATCTCCAGGTGTTTGTATATCCTATTTTCAAGAAGTAACATTGAACGCCTGTTTTGTTCCGTGGCACTGTGAGAGCAGTTAGGTATATGAATGGACTAGAAGTGGCCTACTGTCAGATAACAAATGCACACAGCAAAAGAGGCGGCTCAAATAGAATGGGGTGTGTACCCACCGTGAGTGGAGGAATTCAGGACACTATGAATGAAGCATACTCAAGGGAAAGCCCTACCAAGCTGGGGAGAGGAGGTATAGATTCATTCCCTGAAGTAAGCCTGACCTGAAAGCTAATTGGGGGAGGAGAGCTCATTTTATCTAGGTAAAAAGGATTAGAAAGGCAGAAGAAACAATGTTCATAAAATCATAGTGAAAGAAAGTTGTATTTGACTTACTGAACACAGTTGGCTGGAGAGTGAATAGCAGATGACACTCAAGAGTTAAAAGGGGAAGCAGGCCAAATAGAGTGTTGTAACCATTTAATAGCCTAAGCCTTATTATGAGAAGCCACTAAAAATCCAATATGACAGCCAGCAGGAGGCTGATGCAGGAACTTAAAGAAGTCTCAAGATGTAAAATGAAAAACTTTTAATTCATTTGAAAAAAAAAAAAGAAGCTACTTTATTGATTTGGTAAGGGCTTTTTGTTCTTCACAATCCTGATCAAGTGGCCTTCAGAAAAATCAACTTTCCGCCCAAGATCACATTTGAAAAGAAGATCTAGCACCCTAATATTGATGAAATGGGACATGTCTATCTGGTGGTAGTTAGCTGAAAACTGAAAACCAGCCACCAAGAATGACCAAGTATTTCATTTCCTCATAGTACTGGTCAATGATTCCCATCCCAAGTACCCACCCTGGGATGACCTAGCTAAAGAATACTCTAAAGACCATAAAAAAGAATGCTCAAGAATTTGCAAAGAAATATGGGGGAAAGTGACCTCTAGACTAAACTCTGCCATGAATGGTCTCAGCAAGTTCTCAAACTTAGACTCCAATCAGTGCATTCACATACTCAAAAAGGAGAACTCTCTGGGAAGCTGACGTGTACCACCACCTGTTGTTTGTGGCAGTTGCTAACTTTGTAGTTTTCTTAGTCAAAAGTGGTCTAGGTAACCTGTAAAGTAGGATTTAAAAGTCCAGGTGTTCTGAGCTGGAGAGATGGTTCAGTGGCTAAGAACACTGACTGTTCTTCCAGAGGTCCTGAGTTCACTTCCCAGCAACCACATGGTGGCTCACAACCATATGTAATGGGATCCAATGCCCTCTTCTGATGTGTCTGAAGACAGCTACAGTGTAGTCATATATGTAAAATAAATAAAACTTAAAAAGAAAAGTCAAGATAAGTAAAGTTAAGTAAAGTTAAGATATTTAAACTTGGAAGACAGGATAATTTGTTTTCAAAAACACTTTCCTGTGGGAAAAGGATCAGTCATGAACAAGGTTGATGACAAGGAAACCTGATAAAAGGCTTCTTGCAGTACAAGGGACAAAAGGAGACAGTGGTCTGAACTGGAAATTGGCAGTGAAGCTGAAAAGTAGCAGACTGATTCAGAAATCAGCAGGACTTAGTAACTGACTGATCAAATGGCCAAAGAAAACATCAAACCAGCCCTATTTTTTTTTTCTGTCCCTGACAACTGAATGAATGTCTGTCCTTCTGGCTATGGCCAGTCTCACCTCTAAACACCAGGCCTGTTGGTCTTTCTGAGTCCACATGCCCAAGTCATCATGCTGTTTGGTGACATCATGCACATATCTTCACAAAGGTAGATGATGTGAGGGCAGTCACCTACAATCCCATCCTTCACTGCTACAGTATTGGGTTTGTCTGCCTGTGAAAAGGCAGTTGAGTTGCGTCTCTCAAACCATGGCCACCTGTGTATGGTGATTTGTATACCTTTGTTTGGAGAACTGGAAAGATCAGGTTTAAAGACATTAACGAACATGGAACTGCCATATAAGAATGACCGTTACTGTCTGAAAATTTCCAGCAAGTCGCTGTATTCGCCATCAAGTTACACATCGATAATACAGGTACCATCTTACTCCTAAGTCCAAGAACCAGCCTTATTTAGTAACAAAAATTTGGTTTTTGATTGCTTGCCAACAATTTAAAATACAGATATTTACTGCCTACTGTGTGCAGAGAACTATTGATTGGGAGGGTAACTTCCGATTGGGAAGATATATAAAAACAATGATTGAAACACAAAGCCTGTCCTTTATAAGTACGGTATTCGGTAGGTAACATAAAGTATGTCCTTGTACATATGATAGATATAAATTTTCACAGAAATAAGATATTTATTTAAGTTGGAAAGATATAAATGTTCACAAAACATGAAGAATATGAACAAAACTGTGTGAGGCAAAAAGACAGTTAACTTATTATTCGAGCTGACCTGAAAAAGTTATCATTACTTTTACATTAAACAAAACTTTTACATTAAACAAAAGTTTATGTTGTTATCTGGTTATGTGGCTTTTTACCTTTCATTCTCTGGGAAGCCATATCCTTGTATGTCAATTCTTACATCTTGAACTCACTCAAACATTCAGCCAATTGCTCATACGATGTTGAGGATGCTGAAATAGTTTGACATTTCAAGGAATGTGGGACAGTGGCATTTGTATAGTCAGCCATCCAGTACTGCTGATTGACAGGAAAGACCAGGGGACATATGCACGTGGAGAGGAAGAATCAGACCCATATAAATTACACTTGGACAGAAGCTTGGAGTGTTAATAATGTGCGATTGTGTTAGCACTTTGACTTTTTTAAAACAGAGACAGAAAAGGACAACTTTCCGGCTCTTTGACTGTTTGATAAGCTTTTATGTTCTTTGTTTTCCAGAGACAAAACCTTGTCTGTTATCTCAGAAACCCACACTATGGTAGCCTTATTTATGCTGATGGTCATGGCGAAGTATGGACAGACTGGAATGACTTGTCCAAGTTTTTTCAGTACGGATGGAGATGCACCACTAATGAGAACTTGTATTCGAACCGTACCCTGGTAGGCAACTGGAACCAGGAAAGATATGACCTAAAGAATATTGTAAAGCCTAAACCCTTGCCTTCCCAGGTAATATAGCTTTCCCTTTTTCTGTTCCTTTCTGTTAGAAAAAAAAATTCCAGTGGCTACGTGAGATTTTCTGTGTAGAATGATGAGAAATTATCCTTCAGCTGGACCACCTAGCCCACTTTAGTATCAAGTTGAATATTCCCCACCAATTATCAGATGATAAGTGGATCTCTTTTTCTCTTGCTGTGTTTGGATCTTGCCTGTTAATCTACAGAAAGACAGATTGTCTTCTGACTCACGATAACTTCTCCGCTGGACTTGATTACCCAAACCATGCTGTTCAGTCTCCTAAACAAAAATCCAATGGATAAGAAAGTATGAAAGACTAATCCCATGTAAACCTCTAATCTACCTCACATGACAGAGCAATTGAATTCATGTTATACTTCTTGATGTTATAGGCTACTAGATTCTTGTTGTTGTTGTTGTTGTTGTTTTTATCTTAAAAGTTTATACTGGGCAATGGTGGCACTGTGCCTTTAATCCCAGCACTCAGGAGACAGAGGCAGGCATATCACACACACACACACACACACACACACATACACACACACACAAATCCCAAGTGTGTGTGTGTGTGTGTGTGTTTTGCCTACATGTATATCTGTGTGAGGGTGTCACATCCCCTGGAACTGGAGTTACAGAGAGTTGTGAGCTGGTATGTGGATGCTGAGAACTGACCCCAGATCCTCTGGAAGAGTGGTCAGTGCACCAAACTGCTGAGTCGTCTCTCCGGTCCCAATTACTATCTATAGAGATAGAGTCTCAATCTATTACTTTTTCTTTCTAGTTTGGACACTATTTTGAAACAACATATGACGCAAACTACAACAGGAAGAAGCCACAATCAGCACATAGTAGGTGGACTCCTGTTATTAATCCTTAACTCTTAGCACCCATTGCAGTTCCCAGCAGATCGAAGGAACTCAGAAGTAAAATGAATTGTAACTAAGTGAACAACTTCTCTTTCGTCTCAGTTTTGACAGGTCTAAGAAAAGGTATGAACTCCGTTACTAAACTCTTTGTTGACTGTTTTCCCGTTGTCTTCCCTTCCCATAGGATTTAAACGAGAGCCTCATTGGTTTCCTGGACATCAGCCTGAGCTGGATCCTCCTCAATACAAATGCAGAGAAAAGTCAACTTATATGAATTGCTATTCAAAACCTCAACCCACTCATTACTCTTGGTGTCTATATGATCCAAACATGAACCAATCTTAGGTTCCAGGGATCTAAAAAAGATAAAGTAGCTTCATTTTTTTTTCTGGAGTAGACTGTAGAAAGGAGCACATTCTAAGCAGACTCAAACATACTCTTAACATGGTTTCTGTCTAAATAAAGCACAGCACACCAAAAAAACAAATCTCTATTTTTGTTTACTCTAACTGTTCTGGTGAATTTTTTATCAACTTAATAAAAACTTAAACATATCTGGGAAGAGGGAATTTTAATTGAGAAATTATTTCCATATGATTGGCCTGTAGGCAAGCCTGTAATGCGTGTATATTCTTAATTAATGATTGATGTGGGAGGGCCTATCCCACAGGAGCAGTGCCTCTGCCAGGCGGGTGGTCCTGGGTGCTATAGGAAAGCAGGTTGAGCAAAGCCATGGAGAACAAGCCGGCAAGCAGTACTTCGTCATGACCTCTACATCATCTCCTGCTTCCAGTTTCCTGTCTTGAATTCCTGCCCTAACTTTCCTGAATGATGGACTTAAAAACTCTAAACTGAAATAAATTCTTTCCTCCCAAGTTGTTCTTGGTCATGGTGTTTTATACCATCATACGTGTGTGTGTGTGTGTGTGTGTGTGTGTGTGTGTGTGTGGTAACAATAGGGGGAAAGCCATGAATCTGAAAAAGAACAAGGTTATTTGGGAAGTTTTGGAGGGAGAAAAGGAAGAGGGAAAGGTTGTAACTACAATCTCTAATAAACAATTTTTAAAACACAAACCAAAGGTTCACGAATGGTAGGCAAGTACCATGAATCACATCTCCCACTCTTAGAAACAGGCGTGCTGGCATATGCCTGGTTCTCCAGCGTTTGAGAGGCAGACGTTGCAGGAGCAAGGCCAGCTTAGGGTCTCTATTGAAACCAGCATTGGGCCTGTGGCTCCTTCGTAGAGCATTTTTTTCTAGCATGCTTAGGACCCTGAGTTGAATCCCCAGCACCAGAGGGCAACAGGAAGAAAGAGAAAAAAAATAAAAAAAGCTTAGACTGTGGTGTACATTATACAGAACATTCAGAAGGCTGAGGCGGGAACATAGCCAGGAATTTGAGACCTGGTTATGGGCTACATAGTAGACTACAGAGTGTGACCCAATCTCAAGAAAAACCTATGTTTTTTCTAGTCAAACACTCCTCTCTGCTTTCCATCAGTGGCAAATCTGAAAAACCCAGCATAGCTTATATGTTACTAGGCATTCCTGGAGTCATTCAGTTAAAGAATGTTTGACTTAGCACAAACTTAAACATATGTGGGAATGCCCTTACTGAATAACCCCTGGTGAGAGGACTATGAGGAAAACAGCTTCCCTAATATCACAGAGGATGTTAAACATAGGCTGACAGGCTAATGACCTTTCTTGTGCACTATGTACCATCAATGGTCTAATGTTCATGTACTTTCTCTTTTCACTTGATTTTGGAACATGTCTCAGGAATACATTTTCATCTTAATAACCTCTGTGTATATTCAAAAAAATTATAAAGAGGACAACCAGTTCTGAACTCCTCCACAAAGACAACCAAGGAAATCTGCTGATCAAACACAGGTAAGCATGCTAGACCTAGCAGGTCAAGGAATAGCAACTTGCCACAGGGTCTTGGTGGTGGTTCAGAAAGATGCTGGAGTGAGCTATTGGTTTGAGGTAGATCCTGCAAAGCAGAAGATGGAAAGAGAATTGTGAGTAGTTCAGGTTAGTGAATGTAGGGAGGCAGAGGTCTTAACTGTGATGTGCTAAGCATTGTTAGCATTCCTTCTAGGCTCCGCCCCACGGTTACCTGGCAACAGCCAGGTTATGACCGGCTTACTATAAAAGGGACTGTTTGCCCTCTCCTCACCCTCTTACTCTCTTACCCTCTTGCTTTCTTACCCTCTCTGTCCTTTCTCTTCCTGTTCTCCCTCCCCCTGGACTATCTCTATGTAACTCTAGTCCATACTGTATCTGTGGCTGTACCTCAGGAGAGGATGCCTCAGCATTGGCCCACAGCCTCTTCCACCTCACCATCAGGCTCTACAAAACACATCCTGGCTCGTTCTTTCTTTTTTATAAAACACAACAAGCATTATTTCCCTTTCTTGTCTAACATATGAGAACAGTTACCAGAAACATCTGTGCCCGTAACTTCTCTTTAAACAGTACGAGAACGAGCTGCTGTTATCTCCCCAACCCTCATTTGTTTATGGAATTTGTGGTGTTTATGATGGCAAGTAATGACTAAGTTTCATGGGTTTTTGGTTTTTTTTTACTACGTTTCCTGTTTTTATCTTTACGGATACCTGGTTGTTCCCATCACTATTTAAAAGGCTGTACTTTCTATAATGTTGTTTAAGGCAATTTTATCTTCAATCTCTTTTTCTCTCTGTGTGTATGTGTGTGCATGTTAGTTTGTAGGTTGCTTTTCTTCTACTATCTTTGGATTAATAATAAAGTAATACTGGCCTAGTTGAATGAGTTAAGTATTCTAATTGTTTTGTGATAGCTCTCTCTATCTCTCTTTCTGTCTCTGTCTCTGTCTCTGTCTCTCTCTCTCTCTCATCTGTGTTTGTGTGTCTGTGTCTCTCTGTCTTTCTCTCTGAAAAATAAAATAGGTTTATGGAATACACTGCATGAGGCATTGGAATGGCCAGGATTGAGGCAGTACTCTTGTTATAGCCTGGGGATTTCTTTGTTGTAATATTTTGGTTTCTGATTCAATCTTATTCTAGTAATATGTCTGTTTAGATAATCTGTTTCTTAGATAATCAGGACTTACTTTGGGTAGTTAAATATATCTTGGGATTTCTCTGCTTCATCTGTGTTTTCAGTACATTGTTACCCATCTCTGCTAAGGTGTCAGGAGTAAGGAGTTAAATCTTCTTGATACTCTCAGATAAATATATATATATATATAATTAGGCTATCACCAAGTGGCCCTAGCCAATCCCTATACTACATGGCAAAGTCTAATAGAACAATTATTATTTCAGGCCACCAATGGGGTAGTTTAAAAGGCAGGAATAGAGAACAAGATTGAGCTCCTGCTGCCTGCTAACCTGTGAACTAAACTGCTGATTTTCAGACAACACAGATGGGAGTTGTTCCAAAGAACCTTTCTAAACATGTCTGCTTTTCCTGTTTCCTTTCTTTCCTGCTGCCTCTGGTGGGTAGTGGGCTACAAGGGAGGCTAAAGTGTTTAAGAACCATCATTAAATATAGGGTTTAAACCCAAAACAGAATTTTATAAATAGATTTTTATCATGAAGATTTGTTGAACTCCAGTTTTCTAGAATTTATTTCTTTATTTTGGCAGATGATTACATCTTTGTAAATGACAGTTCCATCTCTAACTCTGCAACTTTTGCATCTGTTCTAATGTGACATTGGTCAGAATCTTGAGAGCAGAGTCAAATATCAGGAGTGATCAAGGACCCTGTGTCTTGTTCTGGATAGCAAAAGGAATATATTTAAATTTTCTGGGACAAACATAACATTTATGCTGGGTCTTCTCTGTACCTGACCTTATTTATGAAATAAGGACAATTCTTTTCTTTCTTGTCAAGAATCTGTTCCTCATTTACTTCCCTGACCTACCCTGCTCTGAAATGATCCATGAAAGTGGACATTTTGTCAAACCCAATGGCTACTTCAGTGACTGTCTTATTTGACTTGTCTACACTACATTTGGCTTCTTGCTGCAGATCACGGTGGGGATTGGGGAGGCTTCCTTCTTCACATCTTCCAACCTCTTTTTTCATTAAGCTAGGATCCATGCATACCACCAATGGCAAATCATGGCCCTTTAGGTCTCATGTCTTCCTCCGGTCTCATCACAGGTATTTCTGTCTGTAAGGCCCCCCTGTGTGAGCAGGCTCCGCAGCTTCACTGGTCCACCCATCTCTTTTTTTCTTGGCTGTAGTTCCCTGGGATTACACAACACTGTAGCAAGCTGTTTCCTCCCATTTCTCTGACTATGTCTCCAGGTCTTTTATGAGCTGACATTTCTACATGGGTCCTTGAAGTTTTCCATTCTAACAATTCTGTTGTCTTTTTTCTACTCTTTGTGTGCTGACCCCAAGTAACAATATCAACTACCCTGCCTTTAACTGATAAATAATACTTCCAGATTTCTTACATTTATTTATTTATTTATCTATTTATTTATTTATTTAATTGTGTGTGTGTGTGTGCGTGTGCACGCACGCACTTGTGCACACATGCACATGTACTGGCTTCTATTGGCTTCCAAATAAATTCCAAAGGGTTTAGTAGAGCCCTTTCTCCATTGCCTCATGTCCCATACTCCCTTTCGTACACCCAGCTCTCCAGTCATCAGAAAACCTTCATGCCCCTACCATGTCCTCTTACTAACTTTAATAAACTATTGTGAATGAGTAAGGGCTCTCAACATACCTTTAGTCCTACCCCAGCTTCAAAACCAAAACTAACACAAAGACAAACTGCCAGATCACTCATTAGATGGGCACAAGAAAAAGAAGCAAGTCCTGATGCAGAAGTGAAGGAACTAGAACTTGCACACACTGCGAGTAAGAGTGTAAAAAATGATGCAGCTGCTGTGGAAAGTGTCTCAGAAAGCTGGACGTGTAAAAGCACACGGAGCATACTTGTGCTCTCTCTCTCTCTCTCTCTCTCTCTCTCTCTCTCTCTCCCCCTCTCTCTCTCTTGCACGCATGCGCATGTGCACACACACACACACACACAATAAAACTAAAATATGTTTTTAAAGTTAATGCAGACTAATCCTATGACCAGAAATTCCAACTGTCATATTTATGCTACAAGGAATTGAAAACAATTGTAAAAATAATTATAATTATATGTTCATGGCAGCAGTCTCCATACGAATCAAAGGGTAGAAACAGCAACTAATGGGGGATAAATAAAGCTGGGAATATCTATTCAGTAAAATATTATTTGTCAATAAAAGTGAAGAAGTGTGATGTGGAGAACATTAGGCTGAATCCTGAAAACATTATGCCAGGTTTAAAAAAAGAAAAAGCTAGGGGCTGGAGAGATGTCTTGGCCGATAACACTGACTGCTCTTCCAGACAACCCAGGTTCAATTCCTAGCACCCACTTGCCAGCTCACAACTGTCTGGAACTCCAGTCCCAGAGGATCTAGCCCCCTTTTCTAGCCTCCACCAGCACTGCATACACTTGGTTCATGGAAGACTTATATTAAGGTAAACACTAATACACAAACAATAAAAATATATTTAAAATCTCAGCTGTGTGTGGTGGTACATGCCTTTAATCCCAGCATTTAGGAGGCAGAGGCACAGGCAGGTTATCTGAGTTTAAGGCCAGCCTGGTCTACAGAGCAACCTTCAGGACAGCCCCAGCTACACCAAAAAACCTTCCCTGCCTCAAAAACCACCACAACAAACATATTTAAAATCTCAAACAAACAAACAAACAACAACAAAAAACTTTAAAGCTAGTCACCAAGGGCCATATATTAAAGACTCCATTACTAGGAAGTATCTTAAATAGGCAAATCAGTAAATAAAGTAGGCACATGGTTGCCGAGAGCAGAAGGATATAAGGTATTAAGTAGTAAAATCTAAAATTGACCGTAGGAATAGATGCACAAGTCTATGAATGTGTTATTGAGAGTACACTGTACAATTTGAATGAGTAGATTAAGTCTATACACAAATAGAATCTTAGTAATTCTGTCTTAAAAATTCAGTCAACTATTTAAGAAAGTGTTTGCTTCACTAGGTCTCCAGAAACTACATTTAAAAAAAAAAAAAAGACACAGAGATGTGCAGCCGTAATCCCAACACTAGAGAGGAAGAGAAAGGGGCATGCCTAGGGCTTGCTGGCCAGCCAGTCCAGCCAAATCTGTGAGCTTAAGGTTCATCGAGAGGCCTTGGCTCAAGGAAGATAAGACTGCACTGACAGCATTTCCTTATGTAGCCAGGGCACAGATCCAGAAATTGATTATGGATTAGAGAAAGGGGCTTCCTGAGTAGATCATGGTATGTCAGATTATTGGAGAGTTGTTTTGATTTTATAAGGAATCATTTAGCCTATGAGACTTGAAACGTGGCTGGGCATGGTGGTACATGCCTTTAATTCTAGCACTCAGGAGGCAGAGGCAAGTGGATTTCTGTGAGTTCAAAACTAGCCTGGTCTACAAAGCCAGGGCCGTTATACAGAGAAATCCTGTCTCAAAAACAAAAACAAAAAAAGAAAGAAAGAAAAAAAGCAGAAAGAAACTCACATTATCCTAGTTTGTCTCTCCTGTATCATAAAGACCTGAAACAACTGTTTCCAAAAAAAAAAAAAATTCAAAATCAGGATCAGTTCCAAAACTGTATACTTTGTGAAAGTAATTATCTCACTTTAAGATTATTTCTTGTGGGGCTGGCAAGGTGGCATAGCAAGTTAAAGCCACAGAAGCCTGACAGCCTGAGTTAGATCCCTGAAACCCATGATCTAGGAAGAGAATAGACTGCTAACAGCTTTCCTCTGGACACACACACATACCCAGAGACATACCACACACACATACAAACACACACACACACACACACACACACCGTACAGATAAAATAATAATTACTACATTTAAAAAAAAAAACTTGAAAAGACACATCCTCAAGTTAACCTAGAAACCAGCAAGTAGCTACCACAGTCGAGGTGAGGGTTGTTGCCACAGGCTTGCCAGCTAGTGTGTAGCAGGGCTCAGTGAACCTGACAGAAGCTATGTCTAGATCCACTAAAGCAAAATGGAGAGAGTGGTTTTGGTTTTCTATTTTGTGGGCTTCCCCCTCCCAGGAGTTAGTAATTTTAGGAAGAAGATTTTCTTTTGATTTTTGTTTTATTTTTGTTGGGCTTTTTGTTGGCGTTGTTGTTTTTATGTTTGGTAGAGAATGGATTCTGTGCAGTTTGGGTTTAAAAGCTATCTGTTGACTACTTTGTGCTATACTCAAGAAGCTTGCTTAACAGTCACCACCCATGTCCTATTTACTGTCCTGTGAATTAGCTGAGGACACTCATCAAGTCACACTAAGGTCACCATGTGCCCCTGGTGAGGTAATTAGTTTCAGAGATGCACTGAAGCCTTTTATGTGGGGTTAGCCAGAGCTGATTCACCTCGACCCCTCCTGGGACATCACCATTTCTCTCTTCTTAGTCTACTCCTTACAACTTTGTCCTAACTAGTACAGCGAATTATAAACAGAAGACCGGAATATCAGGGGAGTGAGTGGCTCTCCTGAGTTTGTACCACTAAGAAGCAGTGGAGCCAATCATTCTGACCAGAAACACCCTTGGAGTCCCCTGAATCATAGTGTGGGAATTAGTTGATCTGTTATGTTTGCAAACACGAGACAGATCTGTTGCTGAACGATATTTTTATTAGCTTAATGATCTGGGCCAGCCTTAGCATTAATAAGCTTCAGCACTAGTCACAGATTTTCATTCACTGATGGGAAACTTCCTTGTTTTAAAAAACACAACGAGGAAAGGGAATCTACTTCTTAGGGGCAGCGGTGACAGCAGGCTTCTCTTCACGGGTGATGGGAATGGTGCGCTCAGGGCCAGACGCCTGTTTCCTTGGTCCATTCACAGTGAGGACTCCATCAGATGACAGGGATGAAGTGATGGTGAGAGGATCCACATCAGCTGGGATACGGTACTTCCTGTGGAACTCCCTGGAGATGAAGCCATGTTCGTCCTAATCCAAGAGAAAGAAGGATGAAGCAGAGAAATAGGAACAGGAAATACCACCACTTGCCCCAAACTCAGACACTCCTCTCCCTTGGTTTAGATCAAAAGGCCCTAAGACAAAAAGAAATATCCGGAGCTGGGGATACAGTCTAGTGGTGAAAGGCCCTGAGTTCATCTCCAACACTGTAAATATGCAGAGAGCTAAGTCCAGAGCTGTTTGTCCAGGTTTAAGGCTAGAATAAACTGTCCAATCAGAGTCTAGGAAATCTGAAACAGCCCTGAGCTTCTTAGACCTTCGTATCTTGAGACACAATTACAACTGTGGCACTTCCCACAAAGGAATGAATCTGTGCTGGCTGGACCCACAGAACTTGCACTCCCATTTTGGCATTGAGGATCTGTATCCTTTAAGAAGCCCATAAATTGTCATAATTGCTCAGACATGTCTCAGAGTTTTCCTAACCCACGGGGTTGCTGATATTATATAAGGTGACGCTATCAGTGACACTGTGGTCCAGTCTTAAATCATGAGCAAAACTGAGATATTAATTTTTGTTTTGATTTGTGTTTTGTTTGAAATAGGTAGAGTTTCTCTTTTGAGCCCCGCTCTCCTGGAACTCATTCTGTAGACCAGGTTGGCCTCTAACTCAGAACCTACCTCTGCCTCCCAAATGTTGGGATTAAAGGCATGTACCACCATTGCCCACCTGAGTTATTAATGTTTTTAAAGATGTATTTATTTATTTTATGTATATGAGTGCAAAATCCTCCTTGGGCAACCAATGATCCAGGTGCAGTGAGTTATACATAATTGTTGTTGTGAATAATCACAGTAACCACAGGGTTGAAGGCAGTAAGTCTGGCTTCTGGATGTTCAGAATTCCGTGTCTCTTCTGCTCCGTTTAATGCTAAGCTACTTGGCTTGTCTGCTTTTCAGAGCTTCAGGCTTATGGCTGTGAGGAAGTAAATTAAGGTTTGTTTGTGCAGATGCTTGGGATTCAGAAGGTATCAGGATTAGCATCAGCAATTCCTCTTGTGGTTTTTTTGGCAATTTTTTCTTGACTTCCTAAAAAGGTGTTATGATTGCATCTTAAAAATGAATGACTTGGGGGCTGGAGAGATGACTCAGCCATGAAGAGCAGTTAAGACTGCTCTTCCAGAGGTCCTGCTTTCAATTCCCAGCAACCTCATATTGGCTTACAACCATCTATAATGAAAACTGATGCCCTCTTCTGGCATACAGGTATACATGCAACACCAACAGCAGATCGAGCCCTGACTTAGCTTCCCAGCCATGGATCTGTAACTCCTAAATGAATTCACAAAAGACGGAAAGGGCCACACACCTGGCGTTCTTCGTGTTTGCCGTGCACCTCAATCACGTCTCCCAGAACCTTGACTTTGAGTTCCTCTGGAGAGAAGTGCTTCACGTCCAGGTTCACAGAGAATCTGTCCTTCTCCAAACGCATCTAGAATAACAAGGAGGCAGGAGGAGGGGCTAAGATGTTAGAATGTTCATTAAGCTGGAGAAGGCTCATCGTTCGGCAGATTTACTGCCTACAGGTAATTCATCTTCCACTTGGCTACTGGGGAAAACACATCCCCTTTTGGATAGTGATGCTCACACATGTGAACTACCACAGTGATACACAAAGAACACCCCTTGGTCACCAGCCCCAAACTTTACTTAGAGGCACAGGGAACAAGACAGGTCAGTAGGGGACTAGTCACAAGGATGGGTCTGGGCATGGCATCTGCTGCCTCTCTACCCAATGCTGGCTTTGTCATTTGTCTAGAAGACAAAGGCCCCCTTTTTCTTGTTCAGCTCCTTGCCAAGTTTCCAACCCACTCAATCTGGAATGTTCTGCCGGTCCTGTCCTTCCAAAGCCCTTGCTCACTCGGCTCCTGTTTCCTCACACTTGAATATTTTTAAACCAGAGTGTTATCTGTGACAGTCTCTGTTAATCTTCTCTCCCACTGAGTTGAGATAAGTCAGGGCTTCCCAAGAGTGGTCGGACCTCTTAAGGCATGGACTGAGGTCAGTGCACTGTCTCAGCCTCAAGGAACCCAGAAAAATCATAGACAAGGGAAGAGGGAGGGAGAATATTGATGGATGTCTCCAGCTCCATCAAGGGGGCATCAAAAACCCAGGGTGAGTAGATTTCTATCTGATCTCAACAGTTTGAGACGATAACATCCTCCAGGACCATGGCTATTGAAGAGGTAAGTAAAGGAGTTGAAACAAACCAGAAAGAGGCATCCTACTTCATCATTAGGAGACAGAAGATGACCCTCACTGTGCACAGAAAAATGGACCAGGAAATAGAGGAGCATCAAACAGAAACAGGTGTCCAAGGGAAGAAGAAATAGTAACTTCGTTTCTCTGAACCTTTGCACACACAGAGATGCCTAAAATGGCTTAGGCAGGGATGAAAGGGAAAAGGGAAGAAGGGTCCAGGAAGGGCACTCACCCCTGCCTGGTGTAGGTAGACTTACCTCTGAGAGTCCAGTGTCAAGCCAGCTAGGTGCCCGCAGGAAGGAGGGTGGCCGAAGATAGAAGGGACTCAGGGAAGTGGCAGTTGAGAAGAGGTCAGACTCTAACAGGTGTTCTCCGAAGAACTGGTCGAAGAGGCGGCTTGGGGAGTGGAAAGGAAAGAAGGGACGCCGGATCCAGGGATGGTGGATGGCAATGTCCATGGTGGCTAGTGAATGTAGAGTCGGTTGGCTGGTCAGCTCCTTCAGCTGCAGCTCCAGTCAGCCCCTTATATATGCAGTCTTGTGAAGCTTCTGGAATGGTGATGTCAGGGGTTTTATTATGCCCGTTCACCGCCAGTCCATGGAGACTTGTGATCAGGGATTTGGCAGGGTGACACATACCGGGTACTCACTGAGCTAAGAAAAGAGAAACACAGGCAGGGCTGAGCTGACTGACCGGTGACTTGTCATGGTCTTGTTTCACTAGCTCTGTCCACACCCAGTGGCACCCACCCCATCCTTGTTCTCTGAAGCTAGGACAGAGTCAGGAATCCCAAGCAGCTGGTGGTGGGCCCCTCCTCCTCTCTAGGCTTGCATGCCAGGGGAATTGAGCCAGCAACTATCTTGGGCCTGGGCAGGGACTGGAATCTTCCTAGGCTGAGCCCCAGGGACATTAACTCTTTGTGGAGTCCTAGAAGAGAGCAGTGACCACCACTATGTTAGAAGTAGGTATCTGACTGGAACTCTGAGTTGATCTAGGTTCAGAAGATCCTGACATTAAAAAGACAGAAAATGTTTCTTACATTTTTGGTGCCATGTGGCTAAGTCTTTTTAATTTTTTTTATTTTTTATTTTTTAAGTAATGTGCACTGTGCCTAAGACTGAGGACAAAGGGTGATGAGGATGTACAACTGGTGAAGGCCCAGCTCAGCCTCTCCTTGCCCTCCTGCAGCGCACCAATTTCTCTTCCCAGGTCCCTCAGCTGTCCTTCCAGGCCCCTGCGACAGCTGAAGGGTGTGCAGAGGAGGGGACTTAGGGGGTCCAGGCTGTGCTGATCACACCCTCATAGCTGCACTCTCTAGACTTAGGCTTCCAGCCCTCCCCCACCCCCAGAGGCTCTGCACTATTTTGGGTGGTGTAGACCCCGCCCCCACTCTGACTGAGCCCTGGCTCTCCCTGAAGCTGGAGGGGTCGCCTTGATCTTGTTGGGGCTGCACTTAGGATCAGGGCTACTAGTCTCAACAGCAGTCATGTCAGGCCGCACAGTGCCACACGCCCACCCAGCCACTGCGGAGTACGAATTTGCCAACCCCAGCCGCCTAGGCGAGCAGCGCTTCGGAGAAGGTATGGCTCAGATGCTTCCCACCCCCACCTCCTGAAATTCTGGGCTCACTGCCCAGCTTCACTGGCCTCCACTCTACCTGGAGCTTAAGTGGACTCCTGAGGTGACCCGTCTCCCACTCCAGACTCCCCCCTCAAGCAAGACTCTCTCTAGTCTTGCTACAGACTTCAAGACAAACTTTAGACCGCAGGCCTTTGGGTGTCCGGGCCTTGGCACGCTTCAGAGTACCTTCTGGTTTCGTTTCTGTCCTCCCAAGTCCAGCTCGCTTCCTCCAGTGCCGACTCCTTTCCTTTCCCAGCCCCTCTTCAGCAGTTTCCCACCTGCTCTCTGGCCCTTGTCTCCATATATCGCCTTTCAGCCCTGTGCCCATTGCATCCTCCCCCATCCTGCCTCTTGCCTTCACTTTCTCTCTCTGCTCCCAGGCCTCTTGCCGGAAGAGATCCTGACCCCTACTCTCTACCATGGCTACTATGTTCGGCCTCGGGCATCCAGAGCTGGGGAGGGCGCCAGGGCAGGGGCCTCAGAGCTCAGGCTCAGTGAAGGCAAGTTCCAGGCATTTCTGGATGTGAGCCACTTTACCCCAGATGAGGTGACGGTGAGGACTGTGGATAACCTGCTGGAGGTATCTGCCCGACACCCCCAGCGTCTGGATCGCCACGGCTTCGTGTCCCGAGAGTTCTGTCGCACCTATGTCCTGCCTGCAGATGTGGACCCCTGGCGGGTCCGAGCTGCTCTCTCCCATGATGGCATCCTTAACTTGGAGGCGCCACGGGGTGGCCGGCATTTGGACACGGAAGTCAATGAGGTCTACATCTCCCTGCTTCCTGCGCCTCCTGACCCCGAGGAAGAGGAAGAGGTAGCCAGAGTTGAGCCCTGACTGCCAGCGATAGACCCAGCCCCCAGTGAATCCCCTGTCTACCTCCTGTGGTGATTCCATAAATCCACCACACCCCAGAGGGAGCAGCATCCCTGGGAGATGGGATAGGTGCATGGTCCACAGTGTATGGTTTGATCCCTTGATGTATCATAGCCTTTGATTTAATTCTGGGTGGGGCTGAATAAACCAAAAACCTGGGGACCTTGTTTGTGCTGCTCCTGTTCTGTGGCCTGAAAGACCTAATGGGCAGAAGGTCATAGGCAGCGATTTCCACGGTGAAATATGCCCATCGTCTCAGCGTCCTGAGCTCACACTTGGATGCTGAGATCACACCCGGAAGCTGACACTGGCTCCAGATCAAATTCCTAGCCATAATTTTCTCACAATGCAACAAAAGAGAGAGTGATCCTGGGAGGGGTAGGGCTAGGCCATCCAAACAGCCCAGAGGGCACTGTCTGAGCTGGTGATTAGAGACACAAAAACAAGGGTCTCCAGGCTGTCTGGCTCTTTTTGGGTAGGAGTTAGGAAAAATGTTTTTTGGCTGGAGAGAGCTGCCTGAAGCTCTGGAGTGAGTGTTTTGCTCCTCACAGCAGTGGGGTATGCGTGGAAAGGTCTCTGAGAGAGGTAAGGAGGAGTGCACATACGTGAGCACACAGACATATTAATCCACCATTATCACTGAACCTACATACAACCTTCTTATTTTGAGTACAGGGAGGATCCATGCAAGAAAGCAATTGTGTCTGATTTTCTAATAACCCACAGAGAGGAGACCTAGAACACTATACCTAATCTAAGACCCAACGCCTTTCTACTGTCATATTGTAGTGGCCGTGGTCCGGAAAGGCTGAAGTGATCTTAGTGCTGGGAGTAGGGTGTGTTCAGAAAAGTCAGCTGGTGGGGGCAGGCTATAGCCACACTCTTTACAATCAAGAAAGCTTCATACATGTGCATGATTTGAGGGGTGTCCAAAAGTTTTCCTTTAGTCATTCATATATATGTATGGATGAATATGAATGAATATATATTCTATGTTATGGTGGATATTTGAAATTCTTTCATTAGTGTGGTTGTTTCTTAGCTTTGGGGTTAAAAAAATTTTATTTGAAACCCAACAAAAGCTATCAGTCCTCTTACCAGACAAGTACACACAGGCAAATTTGTCAACAATTTTTTTTTTGAGACCCTTTCATACCTCTCTTAGGGATGTGTGAACCTCTGAGGTAAGAGCTCTTCTTCAAATAGTTTGATTATTAGCTTTAAATTTTCTTTTCTTAAAAAAACAAAAGCAAGACCTGGTGTGGTAGAGTGCTTGCCTGACAGGCACAAGGCTCAGTTAGAGCCCAGCACGCCTCAGAGAACCAGTGAAATGAAAGCTCACCTCAGAGAAATAACTTAGTTACATTCTACTCTTCATGTGGTAGTTCAGTAAATATTTATCAAGCAATATGCAGATCAAGTAATCAGGTGTGGGAGACAAGCACTGTAAGTGTAAGTCATAAGAAACCGGTGCCTTTGATTAGCTACCCTCAGTGAGCCAACATCTGGGTGAGCAGAAGTCTGAAGAAAGTGTCTTTGACAGGACAAAGCACATACTTTATAGCTGTGATCGGAAAACTACCACTTTCTGACCAAGTTTGGCTATGTGTGAGTGCATGTGTGTGTGCCTGTGTTTGCGTGTGTATGTGTGTGTGTGTTACATTCTTAAAGAATATAAAAGAAAGAATAAAATAACATGGTCTGTGAAATTTAAGATATTTACTCTTTAGACTTTTGGGGAAAGTTTTCTGACTTGTATTATTAGCTATGAGATTTAAAAGAAAAAAAAACCTTTTATCTTCAAGCAGAAAGTTTTAAAAAAAAATGCTTAAGGAAAAGGAGTTATGTTACCTCCTCAGTTCTACAACTGTGACACTACAAAAATAGTCACCATTTATAAATACATATAAAAGCTTTAAGTAAAAATAAATGAATGAATGAAAGTTAGGTGTGGTGGCCCAGTCCCAGCACTTGAGGGTGGAGGCAGGAGGATCAGGAATCCCCAGTCACCCGTAGCTCCATCCTTAGCTACGACTGAGGTTAAGGCCTGTCTAGACTTCAGGAGACCCTAGCTAAAAAGATAATAATAAAATATGTATTTTCAAATTTCCACTCAGATTTCAAACTGAAGAGCTTCCTGGTTTCCTTTCTAGTTGAATATAATTGGTCTACTTATTTGTTGGGGGAAGCCATGCCTCACGCACGTTAAGCCTACACTTTACCTAGCACACAGCCCTGAGCTTTGTCTAAGTACAAAATAATAATAACAACAAGGAAATATTTGAAAAGTGCTGATTTAATTCAAACTTCCACTCCACCAAAACATCAAAATTCTTTTTTAAAGTTATTAATCAACTTCTGTCCACTCCATTTTCCTTTTGGGCATGCATACACATGCACATGAGCGCACACACAGACACACACAGACACACACAGACTCACACACACATGACAAGAGATTAAACCTAGGACCTTGTACGTGCTAGGCATGTACTCTACTATTGACCAGTTTTTACTATTTATTTTAGGACAGAATCCAACTAAGCTGCCCAGGTGGGTTTGAATTCACTGTGTAGCCCAGTCTGGTCTATTCTTCTGCCTTAGACTCCAGAGTATCTGAGATTAAAGATGCAGCATCCTAAAAAGCTCAGGTCCAAGAACCCTCGCTAGAAGTGTCAAGGAAATGAAGAAAAGACAGACACACAGACCAACATACAATGACTCTGGGACCAGGTTCTCCAACATCTCAGCATGTTTATTAGATACAGCACAGGGGTTGGTCTTGGTGGGAGGCTCTGTGTTGGGCTTCCAACACTGGAGAGGAGGAAGCCAAAGTTTCTAGTCTGTATACACTGATCAATCATTCATAAACATCAATATTTAAAAGGCTGAGCCCATATCAAAGTACACATTCACTTGGGATTTAAGTCACACAGGGGTTCCTCCAGGCTGGCACAACCAGGGCTGGTTAATTTCTTCTAAGACTTCCCTTCCCCGGTAAGGCTGTGACTTGTCTATTCAGCCATATCTTGTAGTACTTGCTGTACCATCTCTTACTCACACAAGTCTCTTTTGTAACAGACTGACAATAGAACCTGAACGTCAATGAGGAACCTCAAATCATTCCAGATATGGACTGACCGGGTCGGATTTCGGTAGAATCCTCTCCAGCCTTTGTTCTCCCTCCACACTTGGGTTGATGTGTTTTAAGGTGGATTGGGTGCTCTTTGTCTTTTCTGTGGCATTTCTGACCCTCTAAAAGTCTGGATAAAGTCCTTTAAATTGCCAAAGAGGTTGGCTGGAAGTGAGCAGATTATGAGGGGCTTTGAGAATTCTATCCTGTAAGTGACAGGAAATTATTACTGGCTTTTGAGATGGAGAGGGGGAAGCAGGTTACAGGATGAAAAGGATCTCAGGATACAGAATGGTCTGCAGGATTGGAACATGAGATAGTAAAATACAATGCTTTGCCATCTGATAACTGGCTGAGAACAAGAATTAATCATAGTAACAATGGCTAAGACTTACTGAGGGCCTCCTCTGTGTCAGGCTGGACTAAAGCTTTGTATACACACATTTCCTTCAGTTATACAGCCCTATGAGGCCGTTACTCTCATGCCCAGTTTTCTCAAGATGGGGAGGAGTTCAGAATCCAGTGTACTCTGTGGAATTTGGGGCTGACAACAAGTATTCCAGGACAATACAAAAGATGCCAAGAAAATACTGAAGATTGGAATTGTCGGTTTCAAAGATTTTCTTGGAGCCATAATCTTCCTTCTTTCCTTTATGTCTCTCTCTTTCTTCCTTCCTTCCTTCCTTCCTTCCTTCCTTCCTTCCTTCCTTTCTTTCTTTATTCCTTTTCTTTCTCTCTCTCTCCTTCTCTCTCTTTCTTTCTCTCTTTCTTTTGTTCGGTTTCTGTTTATTTAAGACAGAGTCCCTCTGAATTCTAAGAATTCCTGGCTTTCCTGGAACTTGCTCTTGTAGACTAGACTGGGTTCAAACTCACAGAGATCCTCATCCCTCTGCCTCCCAAGTGCCAGGACTAAAGGTATACACCACCACACTCAACCTGGAACCATTTTCTAAGGGGAGTTCATTCAGCTGCCTCATAGTGGATGGCCAGAGAGGAATGAGTCCAATTTTGGGACATTAGAAACAGAAGCTACAAGCAGGCGTAAGTTAAGATTTTGTAGTACTGAACTGGGGAGAAGACACTAAGTGCTCCCTGTGAATCACTCAGCCATCTGGTTTATACCAGAAAGAGGATTAGGTAATACATTCAGTACTTAGGCTTTGCTGTGCTGGAAATTTAGATGGTAAAAGGTTAGGAGATTTGCACACATCACTTCTGGTAGTGAGACTATGAGAGCATTCCGTTTCTCAACATTTCAGGTTCCAAAAGCCTCTAGGATTCCAATCCACATTGAGAATATGAAACTAGTACCAATTACCTTGACAGTGAAACTCAAACCTGAGTGTGGAAGGGCAAACATAAGAGACAACCCTTGACTCCCTTATGGAGGGTCTATTTCAAAGGTCGTGCGATACAGTAAGACACGTTTCCTATGGAAACTCAGAGCCCTTTTGTATCTCAGGTTTCTTTATAAATCGAAGCTTGCAGCTTCATCAAAAGAAGTGTCAAATCCCAGAGGTGAGATAACTCTCACCTGGAGCCCGTGTGTCTTTCTGCCCTTCGGCTGGGAACAATCACTCGGGAATCATTCCACCAGGTGGCTTCCAAGGTCCAACCTACTCGGTTGAAATCTGATACTGACAGACTCCCTGGGAGCTGCTGCGGTTCGCTCAGCCGGGAACCAGGAAATGCGCAAACTTCTTTATGTCTGAAAACCAGCTGGGCTCCCTGGGAGACACATCCGCCATGGGAAACCGGCTGTGCTGTGGGGGAAGCTGGTGAGTAGGGCGGAAAGGTGGAGGGGACCGCCTCCGGTGGTGGGTATGAAACCCTGAGAATCCAACAGCCTGGAGACGGTGCCTTCTTCTATCTGCCACGTCCTGGGTCGAACACAGAGCGGTACCTTAGGACGCTTAGAAAACACAGCTACAGTGGCCAGAGGTTGGCTGCACTGGTGGGCCAGCCTTGTTTCTCTCTTCTCTCCTTTCCTTCTGACGCTCTCCTTTTCATGCTTCCTCAGATCATAGTAACTGGAG